AGAAGAATGAGAAGGACGGGGGTAGACGGAGAGACACTCTATCCTTACAACAGCGCGTCGAAGTCAGTGGCGCGCTACGCAACGCCCGCTCCCATACACGGGAGATGTAAATACGGATGCTCGGCGAGGCGTCGCGACGCCGTTACGGCAAAGACGGGCTCTCCTCGGTGCGTGCGTTGGGGCCGCGCTTGGGAACTTTCTAGCCTCCGGCGAACGAGTGGGCGTGAGGAGCGGGGAGGTGGGGGAGCGCGGTGGTGGCGACGGCGGAGTTGGATGGTTGGAGTGAGGGATAAGCAGGAGGATACGAAGGCCATCAGCTTCGTGTTTTGTTAATTGTGAGTTGGCCCGGCGCTCGCGCGACCCCGGATACGAGGATCGCGGACCCCTGCGCCCAACAACTGTAATACCCCCGAGGATGTCGTCGCGAGCCTCTGATTTTCACGGGATGACGAAAATAAGCGCTCACGGCGGCTTTATGAGCTGCGCTTTTTATTTCAGAAGGTCGTCCGCGCGAGGAAGCGCCGCTTTCCCGCTCGACGTTCGTCTTCCTGATGCACAGCGCTTAGTTATTTAAACGAAATTCTTACGATCCGCGGACCAATGGGGAAACTCACACGTCCCTGGGTAAAATGGGATCTTTATTCTTTTTATTATCAGTTTCAAGAGTTTGACTTCATTTTTAGAAACGCTTGCCACCGGCGCTCCAGCCATAAAGAAACGATTACAAATGTTCTACGATCTTTATACGTTCTCGAGTAGCCATTTACGTAAGCATGCATATGTTGACGAAGCTTTTGTGAATGGTGGACTATGTGTGAGAAAACAATAACTGGACGGTTAATAAGCGTTGATATATTTTTATTTTCTTATTTTATTTATTTATTTATTTATTTATTTATTTATTTTTTTTTTTTTTGTTTTTAAGAATCCGCGACGACAATTTACTCGTAGAAAGAACATAACATTGTGCTGAGCCATAAAAGTAATGGCCTCACTGGATTTTCAAAATAAATTTTTCAAATGTTTTTTCATTTGAATGTAAGATACTCAAACTGCTCTTTGTTAAATTGCTTTATTATCGTAGCGAGCGCATCGAGCGTTTAAAAACCGTTGTCTTGTAAAGAAAGCTTCATTAGCGGAATAAGAAAATGAAAGTAATTGATAATAGAATTAGTTGACAAATTGGTAATGAAGTTCTTTTGCGATAGTTGATGTGAAAGAATCTGGCATGCTCCATGAGAATTATTATCCATTGTTGATAATTATTTGGTAATTATTATTCATATTGGGTTGAACTATGTATACAGTTTTACTTAACAATTATCTTCGTGAAATTTAAATAACAAAAACAATGTTTAAAAGCTTTAGCATTTACTTGTACGATGCATTCCTTAATTATGTATTTTCTACGTATATTGATAAGCAAATGCCTGTTTCGTAAAAATATTGAAATACTGCCGGAATAATTTCATTCGGTAAGTAGACAAACGTTTAATTCATATGCAGAATTTAAAATAACAAACTCATATTCTTGAGAATCAATGCATTTAGTATACTGTAATAATAATTAGTATTGCACATTGCTTGCGCAATACATATGACGATTAATATCGAATTCTTGCGAAGCATTACATTTCTTAAATATATAGTAAACTCTTGCTAAAGGCTTTTTTTTTTTTTTTTATAATATCGCAGACTCTATGTCTGAAACGAACTTTGAGCTTATTGCGGTAAATTATGAGCAATCAATATATTACTATCGTTTGCTTTAATGATTCTAATTAAAAGTGTTGATCAAATTACATAGAAAAATTTTTATAGCTTCCAAACATCCGATCCGAGGGATACAAATTACAAACGATAGTAAATAATACAATGAAAATACAATACGAAATTTAATTCATCCACTTGACAATATAAAATACAACTAAATAAAAACTAATTGCCGAAATTATTTCAGAATATTTCAATAACGTATCAATTTAGTTAATTAAGTATCCCTTTAATTTACAATCGATAAGAATAAGGTTTTTGGCTATCGAAGAGTAAATAAGCGCTAAGAGTAAATATTATTTATTCTTATCACGGTAGAATATCAAAAGTTATGTATAAAAAGGAAATGGTAACTGTCCAAAGAGTATCTTGTATCTTCCACATACCACTTAATTCGGATAACATGACTTCCGACCTCGTCGTATTTTATTTCCCAACGAGGCCGCCAATGAACAACACAATCAATTCTGCGAAAACGAAGTAAATTTGCCCACGCCGCACCGAAGCGTTCGTTCTATTATGCTCCCTTCCTGTCTTTCTTTTTCGCCCGCGCGCTCTCTCTCTCTCTCTCTCTCTCTCTCTCCTTTCTCCCTTCGC